CAGTTAAAAAAAAAAGTGTATATATGATGATATCGTCATCATAAAATACAATAATAATATTCACGATTTTAATAGTTTGTGAAGACACAAATATAAGGAATACATCACTATGTAAACAAAATTAAGAGAAATTTTATTAGTTACAACTTCTGAAGAATAAAACAGAGAAACCTAAAATTTTATTTTAAATAGAAGTTGTTTTAATGTCAGATGCTTAGTTTATTTAATGTAGATAACTATAAAAAAAATTCCAACTACAGTATTTGTTATTTTATATCTTTACTGTAAACATACAATACTTATTTGGAATGCACTATTTGATTATGTGCTCTACTTTTATTGATCAAGCTGAGAGTGAACATTTTTGAGCAAAATTGTTTTCTATAATACAGTATAAACTTTGAAAAAACTGACTCTTTTCATTTTTTTTTGTAAAAATAGTATTCAAATGAATTAATATGTAAATGTATTTGAATGAGTAAGATTATGTGCTTGTAATTTTCCAAAATTGCTATTATTAGATCTTAATTAAAATCAGTAATAAGACAAAAAGCAATACTTTGTAATATCCAGTACTGAATATGCAGTATTCAACATTCAAACAATATTCAATACAGTTGAAATTATTATTTGAATATGTAAATTTTAAAATATTTAATTTATTTTTAGAACTAAGTAAACTTCTATTTTAAAGAATAATGTTAAAAATCAAATTCTCAAAATTGCAGTTTAAATATATAAACTTACACAAGTAAAACAATTAATTTGTCTTAATGCATAAAAAAATTTATGGGATTCAGTAATATTAAAATTATCACTTACCATTTGTTACACAAGAAAATTTAAGAAATTTGACAAGTTTTTCACATATTTCATAACAGACAACTGTCCATTAAACTAAATCTATATTAATTTCTCAAAGTAAATATCAACATTACTCTTACACAAATTTTTCAGCAAAAAAAGTCATATATTTGTAGAGTTTCAAATTTTGTTACTTAACCTCTTCATCTATTGCTACTTTTCAATTTGCATAATATTTTTTTTTTTTATTTTATTTTTTATCTTTACTTAAAAAAGGTTTTATAGATATTCTAATCAGTTGTTTGTTAAAGTTTGACTCTTGCAAATTTCTTTAACAGTTGTATAATATAATCTTTGTAATTTAATCAATAAATTATATTTCAGATTTATTTACATAGAAATATAGACAATATTTATTGTTTTGTATAGGTCATAACAAAATACTGTACAATTTACAAACCTAGTAAGAATTTTCAGTTACTTTGAATTAGATTTACATATTAAACAGAATTCATGCAAAACTATTTTTATTTGTTAATTTTTATTCTTTTTCAATTTGTTTAAAAAGTTTTTCATTAAATATGATTCAAACAAAATTATCTGTTTGGATTTTATTAGTATTCCTGAAGATAAGCGGTTATGCTTGTGTACTTACAGTTTCATATATATTACATGCAATGATAATTTGTATGAAATTATTAATGTTTTATGATTTCAATAATTATATTTTAAAATGTGTTTGAAGATTAAAATCTGCATATGTATTTCAAAATATAATAATCAGTTATCATTCTATTATAGATACAATGAAAGAAACAAACTATTTTGTGAAAAAATTAAAGTTTAAACAAAATTTGCTTCTTAATATCTTTATGTATTTTAATTCTTACCAAAGATTGCTCCTATCAAAATCTATTTCTGATTTTAATTGAACAAAATTAATTAATTATATAATTATATTTATGTAAATATATAAAAACAATTCAATTTTTAAATACAATAGAAAGTCATTATAATAAACTTAAGATCTCAAAAATGTTTGTTAAACTGAAAATTTGTTGTAATAGAAAATATATATAAATTATGAAGTACTGTACAATAGCTAATACAAAGTCCATGTATGAAACAACAGTGTTATATAAATTATTTTTATCACTTTTTTTTACTTATTTCATGTAAATAAAACAGTTTCATTTTGTATTTGTCAATTTAATTCATGCTTTGGAATCATATTCTTTCTATACTTTGGTCTCCTATATCAGAGAGAAACAGGAGGAGTCTAGCAACATTTTCCTTGTCTGGATGCCATCTTAGTCTTGTATATTAAGTAAAAATAAGATAAATAGCAAAATTAAGGGATATTTACACCTGTACTCATGACAACTTGTAGCTCTTGTTGATGTTAGTACACTTGTAAATTATTAGTTGCTACCAAACTTGTCTCTTTCACTTGGGTGCATTCTTTACCAGTTGGAAATAAGAGAAAAAGAAGTTGTAATGAGGTTGTTATAGTGAAGTGAAAATTGTAAAAATTCCATTACTGCGAGATTGACAGAAAAGGAATGTTAAACTGAAAGTTTATTATATGTTCATACAACTGAAAAATTTAGTTGTGGACTACTATAGAGATTGGATTGGGAAAATCTAAAAGTTCAGTATAACAAGTTCCACTGTATATTTAAAACTGATATTTTTTATACTGAATAGAAAAATTCAATACAGATTATATTTAACAACTATTTTATGTAATATTTTGAATCAATAATTAATGACCATATTGCAAAGTTGTTATAAAATTTGACTAATTTTAAATTTTAGCAAAATTTACAAGTGGACTGTAAAAAAAATATACAGTAGAACCTCGATTATCCGGACTACTTGGGGATGAAGGTAGTCCGGATAATGAAAAATTCGGATAATCTAAACAAATACTTTGTCTTTTAATGATAATACAACATGTTTTCTTTTCGATGACATATCGGTAATATTAAAAATAAATATTGTATCTAAATCGTGATCAAATTTTCAAGAAACAAACGTTCGTATTGAATTTGGACTACTACTGACCAACACTAACAGACTACATATTGTTTAAAAGGCCCTCTGGTGGCGCAAGAAGACGGATTTTATAAAATAAAAAGCAGTTGAAACTGCACTTTTATGAATAAAAATTTGACAAACTATTTATCGTTTTATGACGAGTAAAATTTTTTCGTCGCGTTCGCGGCTTTTAAGTAATGCGTAAACCTTCGAAACGCGAGGCATAGGCGGTGGCCCATGTCGCCCATGCCTTACGCCGCCCTTGGTCATAGAAATGATGTAATTTGAAAATAAAATTATTTATAAATACGTGTGTCAAGTTATATTTTTATTATGACGCAAAATATATTTAAGAGTTTACGGCCACTGTGCCGGGTGAGATGTTGAAACAAAAAAAAGTCATGCATTCCATCACGTACATAAACAGTATCGTAATTCGCCAAGTGCAAATCAGCAAATTCGTAAAATTTTTGTTTATTTTGAACAATCCGGATAATCGAAAATCCGGATAATGGAGGTTCTACTGTATTTGATATTTATGAAAACTAAAAATTAATTTACTAAAATCTATTTTCTGTTTTAAATAATATTTATTTATTTGTTAAGTTTAACTCAGTTCATTTCTATAGTTACCAATACTCCTAATAAAAATCATTAACTAACTTAAGACACCTCCTGACCTATGATATGGGGTTGATCAGTTTGAATGAGAGATAGAAAACATCCCAAACATGTATTGTCCATGATAAGTAATGAGCACACAGATTGGATTTAAAGCCAGATTTCCACAACAGTAAACTAATAGCTTACCAACAGCTATCTGATCAACAAACAAAAGTATAACCAAAATCTGAAATATACATTTATGTTTAAAACAAGACTTGAACAAATAAGATGATAGAACATCATTTTAATAAACTATTATCAAATTAATAAATACAGTAGACTCTTTAAATTTAAATATGTACTTCTTGTCCTTAATTACTTATATGCTGAAATGGCTGTTTTGTGTAATTAATTTTTAGATTGATTGATTAGGATGATATTTGGTGTAAATCATTAGAAGACAGCATTAAATAATTCTGTAAAATTTTATCCACTCTAAATAATTCAAGAGATTTAAAACAAAATTACACTGGTGTATAATTCTGTTCTGCACTGCATATTATGTCTTTGTCCACTTTGGATGTTCTTTTGAACTAGGACTTGTTATACCTAGGGAAGTGAATCACACAATTTCTAGGTAAAACACCTTTCATGTAACAATCCAAGATTATGTTACATTAAAGGTGTTTTACCTAGAAATTGTGTGATTCACTTCCCTTGGTATAACGAGTCGTAGGACAAGACAGCATCCAAAGTGGACAAAGACATAATACATAGTAGACTCTTCCTAATCTGATCATTCCTTGGACAGAAAGATACCAGATTACTGTGTGTGTAGGCCTAAAGTGAATAAGTGACGTGACCTGTCACTTCAATACTGATTCTTTTTGGAAGCAGGTAGGCAAATAAAACAGCTTGCTGAAATGCAATACCATATACAAAAATTAAACCCAAGTAAACAGGAAAACAAGATGTGTGACATGATTAACATTTCATGTAAAACAAAAGAACATAGATGATTGCACTAGAGCCATGATTGCCAGATAATTGAGTGCTAGATTAACAAGAGTCTACTGTAATTTATTTTTTGATATGTATAAAGTCCCTTATTACTTAAACATAAAGTATTTAATTCTTTAATTTATTATTATTAACTCTACAATTACTGGTAATACAAACTTTTTAGTTTATAAAATGAATTTGAAAATCAACAAACAAATCATAAATTTTTGTTAATATCGCAATTTCAAATTAATTAAATAGAAAAAAAATTTTCAATAAGCAGATTTTAAAGATATGCATAATCAATTAAAATAGCTTTTGATAAGTCATTATTTTGTTGATGTTTTGATTACTTGACTGTTTAATGGTTTGAATTATGTTTATGTATGAAACTGTGAACACAGATTTTATATAGATTCTTAATTATGTGGAAAAAACTATTAATATAAAATAATAATTTGTGAGAGTTAAGAAGCTTTTTTGATAATATTTTGGGTAAGTGAAAATGTTACAGTGAATATGTTTAAATTATGATAATAATAACTGAATTTCTAAATATAACAATCATCAATCAATGTAATTTTATTAAGTAATTTACTTTACATGACCAAGTGTAATCCTGGTTACTTCTTACCTGCTTCAAATATTGTTCATTTATTTTTCACAATTTAAGTTGCAGAGAAATAAGCACTATTATAAAATTAACGAAAAGATTTCCCGAATTACGAATAACATGTATTCAGATTAAACCAAATTTTATAAAAGAAAAAAAAAATATATATATATATATATTACAGAACTACAAGTGATGATAAATCACTTAATTTATGAAAATACAAAAGAAATAGCTCAGGTATATCCAAAAAATTATTTGAAGGAAAAAAAATTGGAAAAACCAATTTACATTTAAATACTGTATACAGTAGATTCACCATTTAAAGTGAAAAGCTTTTAATTACTGATGGAATATAATTGTTCCAACTTCAGAAAAATGCAATTATACACAATTATTATTAAAACATTAAAGATGAAAAAGTAATGGTCACTTTAACTAAATGCAAAATTATTTAATTAATATTTTTGAAGCATTGCATCTGTACTGCAGACTTCACTGCATGAAGTAAGAAAGTCTCTTTTTTTTTAATATTTGGCCAAAAGGCTTGGCAAATGTTTCCTAAATTATTATTTTAAATAATTTCAATTATCCCCTTTTCCATGACGTTTCTGCAGTGCTTGTGCCAAATCATTTCTCAGTGCTGCCTGCTGCCTCTGATCAGAAAGAGGCTGCACGGTTCTTAAACCATTCACAATATCTTTAGTCTTGCCAAAGTATATTTCATTTAAAGTGTTCCTGATTTTATTTTCCATATCCTATAAAAAGAAATTTAAAAATGAGTAATTTTTCATAAAAGCAAATCTTTAAAATGACTATTAACAATTAAATTTTTATTTTTTTTTTAAATATTTAAGATATTCATCAACTGAAAAATATTTCTCTTATATATCTGAAATTTTGATATGAAAAATTAACTTGTATTATAAATAATTATGGTTTCATTTAAAATTCAATTTGTTTTAAAAAAAATTTCAAATATATTTCAATCAGAACAACTGATTTAAATTGACAATACATATATTACACATCAATCAGTACAGAAAATGATTGAATTATTATTTACATGAAAGAAGATTATTTTTATATTATCCAATGATAATGAATACTTAATAACATTCATAAGTTAGTAAGCAAATTTATATATTTCATTGAATTTCCAATTATTTCTGAAATATAGTTGTATTTGTATATGAAGTTGGAATTTGGTTTTCCAAAAAATGTTCACAGATTTAAAATAATAATAATAATAATAATAATAGCATTTGGTTTTGGTTATATCATATAAATAAATCATTCAATGTTGTTGTCTGAGCCTGTTTTGGTCATATACTTTTAATCAATCCATTCAGACACTCATAAAGTGAACTTCAACAAATCCCAAGTTACCTTTGATATTTTAAAAATTAAAATGTCTATGTTATGGACTAAGTGATTAATATGGGCATTATAAAGAATGCCCGATCATTATGAATAATGACAAACAAAATCGGACACTTTAATAACAACCATGGAGCAATCATTAAGTGATACGAATAACCACTTCAACAACTGAGTAAATGAGTTAATAGTAACAAAAGGTCAGAACAAAATCAGCTTATTTGACAGTACTCTAATTCACACTCAGCAGAACAATTCAAAATATATTATTAAAAACCTTTTTGCTGCTGAAATTCGTTTTATTTGGCAAACATTTTCAACCTATTGAATAGGCCATCATCAGGCTACATATTAAAATAGAATAAAAGGAAAAAAGAACAACAATGTTTAAATATTTGAATATAAAGCAGAAACAGCTAAAAAAATGAACATAAATAATGAATAACAGTAAAATACAAAATAAATAACTCAAAAGTATACAAAAACATATAATAGAAAATGAGGTAATTAGGAACTACTATATTTTCTATTATATATTTTTGTATATTTTTGAGTTATTTATTTTGTATTTTACTGTTATTCATTATGTTAATTTTTTAAAATTGTTTTTCCTTTATATTCAAATATTTAAACATGTTCCTTTCACATGAAAAAGATTTAGCAATGCTGATTTCCAAAAACCAGGATGTTATTACTATTACACAGCTAGTGACAAAGAAAAATAGTTGATTTAAAAATAGAAAAAAAATAAATAAATAAATAAGAAGTGTGTCTAAAACAAGGAAAATGGTATCGTCTAATCTAAAAATGCAAACAAAAAAAAATAATTAATACATCAAATTTCAAATACCCAAATACCCAACAGCTAACGTTAGTGACATTGTAAGGATTCATGTACCAGATGTAGATGCAGCCTGCAGTGATAGAAAAAATATTTTAGGTGTCGTTGCAGTTGAAGATAAAAACTTTTATAAACTGGGTACCAAACATGACATAATAAATCTATTATATTCCAGAAACTAATTTACTGTCAATAAAGAAAACTTCATTTCTGTTGGAGATGTACTGAGTGCAGAAATTTCACTTAGAGAATGTGCAAGAATGTCATCACTTTCTGGAAGTCAAGGTTATAGTTGATGCTGCTGCAAAACTGATTGCAAATCTAACAGATACAAATGCTAAAAAGAAAACTGTATTATGCAATTCCAAATGTGATCAAAATCTTAATTGCTTGAATAAATAAATTTTAAAAATATTTACTTTTTTGTATAATTTGTACCAAAAATTGACATTCCAGAAGTTTCCTTTAAGTTGGTTTTTTGATTGAAGTATAAATTTGCTAGTAATATTTTTTGTTGACATTAGTTAAATTACACAATCCAAATACACCTTAAACTGCTGAGATAATTTATTTAAACTAAACAAACGTTTTCTTCCTATTCAAATAAGAAAGCTTGAAGAAAGTGCCCTTTGCAATTTCAAAAAGGACATTGTGTATTTTAAACATGTGGATGATGTCTTTATATTGTGGAAGAATAACCAAAAAATTAACAAATTTACTAACAGGGTCAATAATAACAATGACGATCTAAAATTGAGGATGGAACAAAAAAGTTTGTTAATGATACATTTTTTGAACATTAGCATTGAATTTAAAAAAGGGCAGTTAGTCACTAGTGTATATATCAAGCCAACACATAACCAACTCTACATCCCATCCCAACTGAATGATCCTTACCAGTACAAACTAACAGCATTTCAGGATCTCATTAGAAGAGCTTTTCTATATTGTAGTAGTGTCTTAGATAGACAAAGGGAGATCAACAGAATTTTATAGGTGGCCAAAATACTAGGATACAAAGCTGACATGATAACAGGAATGGTTAGAAGCTATCAAAGAGGCACAACAAAAACTCCAAACAATGATCTTGGTAAAATCACAAAGTTCACTTATAGCAGAAGTGTAAAGGGCATATGAAAGAAATTGAAGACTGCAAGAAGTCAAGAATAGTGTTGAAAAGAACTCTGAACCTTTACAGGATTTTAAGGAATGACAAAGATAGCATTAGAAAGGAAGAAAAGGCAGGAGTGTACAAAATACCTTATGAGAATATACAATTACAAATTAAGAAAAACTATATTGGTGTTACAATAAGTTTGGGAGTTAGACTTGAAGAACATAAATATAACATCTAAAAGGGGGTCCAATACCACAGTACTTTCTCAGATGGCACAGGCTGAAGAACCTGTAGTATAATGGGATGAAGTGGATATTGTTATGTCTTTGCACTACCCAACACTAACAATAAGCACTGAAAAAATTGAAATTTATAAGAGCAAGCTGGAAGATACATATATCAATGCAAGAGATCCTGAAGATTTACCTTCTGCATAGAAATACATAGTAAAAAAGTCTTTTAGAAACTCCTAGTTATTTCTTATTTTTTTCATGTATTTTATTTTTTTTGTATTCATATTTTTATTGTACAGTATGTGATTTTATATTTATACATATTTATATTTTTCTGTTATTTTCTGTATTTAAACTTATTTATTCTATTTTGCATTTAACCTAATGATGGCTTATTGAATAGACAGAAAACGTTTGTTTAGTTTTAATAAATTATCTCAGCTGTTTAAGGTGTATTTGGATTGTGTATTACTTCCCTGCTGGGTGTGTTTGTTGAATATTAGTTTAATTGATACAGTTGTGAGATCAGCCAGGACGTAGGTCTTAGTCTACGACACTTACGGCGCGCGATCGTGAGATCGGCTCTCTAACTTTTATAGGAGGGCGATAATCGCTCTATGATCCGAACAGCGACGTTCAGATGCTCGTCAGGATTCCTTGACACCAGTTAATCAATCTTATTATACGCGGATTAACATGCGTTTGCGATCTGATTCGGGATCAATTGAAGAGACATTAGGTATATTTAACAAAAGTAAATTTAATAATTCTAAAACAAAACGAATACAAATAATCAATGAACGACAATTAAGCAACAAGCTATAGGCTAAGACTTATTCTATGCTAATGCGCGATCGAGAGAGAGAGCTCACAAAATCTTTCCAAAACATACGACCTGTTTAGTTGTCGTCGTCTTCTTCCCTGTAGGTAAAGGACACCTTGTAGATAGAGTTCATATTACTTTCGTATGGGAGATCAATACGTGCACAAAGTATAAAAGTATCACTTCTACATGTAGACTCGGGACTTAGTCTATGGGACTCTGTTAAGGGCGTTGGCCATCAGGAGGAGAACTGCGTGGAGTTTAGATGCTTCGGATCTGTCGAAGAACTCCGTCGTTGAACTCCCCGAATTCGGACTAAATTCCCTTATATCTCAAAAGTTTCGTCCAATCATCGGCCAGTAACTCTTTCGTGAGAACGAACGAAAGGGGAATGAATGAGGGGTAACCATTTCCCATCTGAGAGAGATTTTTAACCAGATAAGGGAAAGTCAGAGGATGTTCTCTTCTGTGAAAGGAAGTAACATCTGTTATCTGGTTTTTCCCACGTCTAAAACACTAGTTTTTCACAAAAAATGAAGTAATATTTTGTGTCGATAATTTAATATTATCAATAAAAATTCATAAAATAGACCCAGGGCCTTTCGGGTCTCACACAGTTAATAATACTTACTTTTAAAAGATTGCACATTATTTTTAAAATATGTTGAAATAATTAAAATAATAATAATTCTTAATGAAAAAAGTGGAGTTATTTTTAAATCAAATTTCCCAAAGGGAATGTAGCTGTATCCAGAATGTCTGGTCAATTTAATAAATTAACCAATATTTATCAGGTTGCATGGCCATTTTAGCCATTATAAATAATGCCCTATTAATCACTTGGTCCATAACATATATATAGAAATGGCTGAATTTTAATGGATTATATATACTTATAATCAATAAAGTAATAATTAAACATCAAAAATAATTTATATGATTAATTTGCTTCTATAAAATGCATTTTCTCTCTACATTCATTTATACAACAAAATAAAATGTATAAAATGTAGAGGTGATCAAGACTAAAGTGACAAAGTTCCTAATGGAGATTCCAATAAATGACTTTGAAAAATGCTTCCAACAGTGGAAGCATCACTGGAAGAAGTGTGTAAACTCAAAAGGGGCTTATTTTGAAGGAGAGTAGTGTTTGAACCAAATAGATATACATGTATTTTTTTTTTCTGACTTCAGATTGGATACTTTTTGATGAAACCTTGTATAAAAAAAGATAATAAATATAGAAGAAATAATGAAAGTCAAGTCTGGTGAATTTGCCAATCAATGTATTTTATATTTATCAGTATAAAGTTTTTCATCTGTCTTTTTGACAGATGAAAAACTGCACTACATTATAAAGCATAAAACAACAGAATGCAATATGTTGGAATATATATATATATATATATTATATACACACATACACACATTCTGAAGTAATGTGTGAAGTAAAACTATTTATAATAATAATATATTTGATTATATTCACTTTCAGGTGACTTCTTATTAACTTTTGTATAGTTTACTCTACAAAACATTCAAAATTTAATTTGGTCTATAAATGGAGCTACTACTGGAAAAATTTTTCTGTCATTACATAAGTGAAAATAATATTTTACAATTAAAAATAATGATGTTTGCAAATTATTACTTTTAATTGTAAAATTCTCTTCTGTTTATTGAAGAAAATATGTTTCCAATGATCATTGAGTTTCTTCATTTAGATGTTAAAACAGACAGCTGTCAATATTTAAATATGTATGAGAGATACTAAAGAAATAAAGTAATTTTTAATATACTTCTATAAATTATTTTATGAAAAAATCTCTATGTCCAATATTTATTTCTGGAAGATAATGCTACTATACTTTTAAAAATTTACTAAAGACAGTATAGAAAATTTTAAAATGTAAAAATATTTACAACATATATAAGTATAAAATTAGATGATACTCATTGTTGATACCATATACATCTAGAAAAAACACAAAATTTGTGGAATACTAATTTCACAGATTATATGTCAGCATAATGAATATCATGCTGACATATAATCATGCCATAAAATCTAAACATGTAAAATATACCATAAATGTATTACAACACATAATACTTTTGTTAAAGAATTACAATAATGTTTGGAATAACCTACAGCTTATAAAAAAATAGATAAAATAAATAATAAAATTTAAATTATTCTTTATTGCAAATACAAAGTAAAGTCATTGTTTAATCAATATAAATTCAACTTTTCAAAGAAATGTTATTTATTTGAAAAACATAAGTTTAATCTAACAATAAAAATTAATTTATGTTTTGTTGTACACAGTTTGATAATAAAAAACTAATATTAAGCATATATAATTTAAATAACATTTACAAGAAAATACTTTAAAAAAATTTTAATTATTTAATTATAAAACTATTAAATTATAATAGCTAAAATTGAAATCAATTAACCAATACACACACAATGCTTGGCTATATGAAATACTACATTATTGCTTTCATAATAACTAATAATATTCATACTGTTATCATCAAGTGAAAATACTTTCCTAGTTACTTACAGCATTCATTTTATATCTTTTTATTTTAGATATAGAACTCCAGAAAAAGTAAATGCTTTATTAAGAATAAAACAGTATTGACATCTTTTCAGGAAATGAAAACCCATCTTCAGGATTATAATTTTCAAACAAAGTTTTAGTTTTTAAATATTAAAAATTTTATAGAACAATATTGACAACAATGATTTCATCAGTCTCACAATATTCCAAAAAATATTGTCATTTATAGCTAATAAATAAATAAATCAAACAACTGTTTAGTTCAGCTAATCAATACTTTTCAAAACATTTTTAGACAACATCTGATCATCCTCATTTTAGGATTGTAAGATATTCCTCAGCTTAGGACAACTCAATTAACAAATTGAAATGATGTCAAACAAATTTAAAATTAAGAACACAATAGAAATGATCATATTAGAATAAATTAAAATATCAAAAACAGTTTTAATAAAACAAACTTTTATATTACAAAATATTGAATATTAAAATAATATAAGAATAAAATAAGAAATAATAATAAATGAAATGTTTTTATCTAAAATCAAGAGCCAAAATAACTAAATATACTGTATTTAAAAAATGAATGATTATAAATGTCAATTAAGTAAATTTTGATAGTAATTTCTTACAGAAAGAAGTTGAAGAAATTTAATAATCATGTTCAAACATTATCAGTTTTTTATGATCTTGCATATTAATGACATTAAAGTGCCAACTTAAAATATGTGTAGTACATAACTGTTCCAAAATTTTTAATAATTTTATGGGTTAATAAATTTTTATTAGCCCATAAAAACTTTGTTTTAACATCTGTAGTGTAACAACTGAGAAGAATATGACATAGATTCAAATTCTTCTAGAAGCATAAAAGTAATGTTCATTTATTTTGTTTTGTAGCTAGATCCAATAGTAGAATCTTCCTTCATAATAAAGATTTTCCCCTTTATTAATAAAGGGAAACATGTTTTTATTTTATTAATTTGTAAGTATAAAAAATAATAAAAAATAAAATAAATATATAATGTTTAGTTATGTAAATTCCAATTTTGATTTAGTTATCAACTAGCTGTGGCTCAAAATGTATCTATTATAAATGTATAACACTCTCCGCGGGGGAATTTCGAAAAATCCCTTCTTAGTGTACATTCTCTTGATGTACCCTATTAAAATGCAATCAAAAACACATCTAAAATATTATAATAGAAGCCCAGTTCTTCATGGTCAGTCTTAATTTTATCCCTCTCCCCACAGGGGGAATTTCAACATCTATATAATATAAAAAACACATGCGTATTCAAATGCAACATTGTGTCAAATTTTCAAAGCAATTGGTTAAGAACTTTCAGAAATTTAAGATTTTGAACAAACATTTACATTTTTATTTATATAGATATGATGGCAAATTTTATGAAGTTTTATGATAACTAATAAATACATAGAGATGGAACAGTTTATAAATAATCAAACTCAAAGCAAACAAATAATAAAATATCTTTGAATCCATAATTAAAGAAAGACAATTATGAATCACAGGTCATTAATTCTAGATGTCTATCATTTTAAGCAATAACATTTTTAAAGTATTTTAGCTTTATTTTCAGATACTATTGATTCTTGAAGAAATTCTAAACATTAAAAGCTTTACATCCATAAGACACAATGCTAATAATTTTTAAGGAGAGTCTTACAGATGATCTAAATATGGAATTGCTTTTGAACATAGATTTAAACATTAAAAATATCTTTTTGAATTTGAAACAGAAATTCAAAAAGATATTTTTAACCTTTAAATTATCTTAGAAATTTAATAAGCAAAAATCTTTGATTATCTTAGAAAACTAATTCCATTTTATATTAAAGACTAGATTACCATATTCTTTTTTAACATCATTACATTGTTACAGAGCATATTTATTGCACAGATGACGTCAGCATGACAAATGCACCTAAATTTTAAAAAGGCTATCACTTTTTATTACAATCTATTCAGTTATAAAAAAAAATTAAGTTTTTTAGCACAAAATATTTAAACAATTTTTCTGCAATTTTGATTCATTATTAAGTACAATGTATTTTGGCACATCAAAATTTGTAAATGTTATTAAAGTAATGTTTATGATTGTTTTTATAATTTTATTCATATTAATAAAATGTAAAAATTATGTCCTATCATATGTTTTTTAAAAGTAATATGTGATTAAAAAGAATTTTTAAAATATCTTACCTCTACCATTTTACCGATGTTGGCAATATGAGGACTAGCATCACTCACTGAATTATCCATTGTAACCTAAAAAAGTATAAAAATTATTTGAATTTGACTTGTTACAATTGAATTTTCTGATGAAGAAATCAACCACAGAAGATACTTACATTTCTGATAATTAATTATTGACAATTTTAATTAGCATTAAGAATTACCCATTAATTAATTGCAAAACTCAATGAAGTTATACAGATTAAAACAAGAAAATCTAACTACCTTGTTAAACTATTAATGAAATAATAAACAAGAGAATGAACTCATGTAAATTTCTTTTATTGAATTCTGATAGCTTGAATAACTTTCAATGCTATGATAATTATACAAATTTATTAAATATCTCAAAAGAAAAGTAGAAAACTTTGAATGACTAGTTTTACATAAAATTGCAATATTTTCAAAAAGTAAATCATCTTAATATCTGTATATGAAACTATGAATAAATCTATTCTAATATATTTACTAGAAGAACAAAGTGATTTCATAACAATTTACTATTAAAAATAAAGTATTTCTAAAGGATACTCAGTATTTATTTGGATTCAACATTAAAATACACTAAGCTTTTAATATTCACAGATAAAAATAATATTATATTAATAAAAATACTATAATTATTTAAATCTGATTTAAAAAAATTGTTAATTATGTTTTAGCAAATCTTTTCTCATATTGTTAATTTAGCTGTTACCTGCGGCTTCACCCGTGCAAATTTGCAATTTGATAGAAATAACCCTCCCTTGGTACTTCATTAAGTTCTCAATGATTAGTTGTTATTATAAAAACAAAAAATCGCATCTAAAACAGTAGAAGCTGTTCTTCGGGTTAAGCCTTAATCCTCTCCCTCTCCCCGTGGGGGAATTTCGAAAAATCCCTTCTTAGTGTGCATTTTCATGACATACCCTACTAAAACGCAGATAAAAACAAAAAATCGCATCTAAAACAGTAGAAGCTGTGCTTCGGGTTAAGCCTTAATCCTCTCCCTCTCCCCGTGGGGGAATTTCGAAAAATCCCTTCTTAGTGTGCATTTTCATGACATATCCTAACTTTGTACCAAATTTCACCTCTTTAGGTTCAGTGGTTTGCTCTGGACGATGACGAATCAATCAGTCACCCAGTCAGTCAGTCAGTCAGGACATGCAATTTTATATATTTAGATTTATAATTCATGATAATTTTGTAGCATTTCACTGTCTGCATTAATAATAAATTATTCTTAGTTTGCAAGATTAAAAGATACAGGATTACTTGTATTTTTGCTAAATAAGAACAATGCTTTAACATGCATTTCTGCCAATTTGCAGCAATTTATTATAATGTTATTTTATTCATGTTTGCTTAAACTTCTTGGATTTATAATATAAAGATCATAATAAGTTAGATTAATGAAAATTAAATTTTTAATAATCTCTAAGTGAAGAAAATAAACTGAAATGCATGATTGCTCTTAACCTGTCCTACGTTGATCCCGAAAATATTCGGGTTGACCTCATTGACCTGTGTGGGCGATCCCGAATATTTCTGTGTTTACATTGGAACGTTTTTGATACTAGATGTCGCTTTGCATCACAATTTTTATATTAAAACGAACTTTTAAAATAAAATTTTTTTCGTTTTTATATTATTCAATATATATATATTTTGTTTGTGAAACATAAAAAAATAATTTTTTATGATACAGTAAACACGATTATTATTTTTAAAAAAATTTAGGTTTAACATAGACGAAAATTCAACATGGCGTCCGTCATAGGCAACAAATAAAAATTTCAACATTGAATTGGTTAATAAACTACATGTAAACAACGAGCACTAATTTTTGACTACTACAGTGAATTTATCACACAATGTTGACATAGTCAGAAAAATTACACAGGAGTCAGAGATACAGATTTATTAGGCATTGGCATGCATTTCAGAGCGGTTGGGCCCACCAGTGGCCAAGTGGTCTTCGTACCCTGAATACTAGGAGTTCAATTTTGGATTCATGCCTTGCTCGGATGGGCTGGCACATGCAGTTTTCCAGGTTTTCTCCATGTCTGTAATCCTAAATAGGGGCCAGTTTCCCTTAAAAAACCCCCCAGAAGGCATCCCCCAAGGCAGAACACCCAAGTGTTGCATTGCCATAACTAAACAAAACAAACATTGAACAGGTTGTCTGTCCCTCTTCAGACATATTTATTATATATTGGTTGATATACAGGCATCTACAAAAATACAATTAGTTTTTATTTCAATTATTACGATAATAATTGAAACAAAAATTAGTGCTCATTGTCTTATATTGTAACATAAGGACAAAAAGCAATTCGAGTTTATATCAATGTAATTATTAACTGATTGACTGATCTAAAATTGTTTCAAAGTGGGACATGTGAATAAAACTGTCAAAATAAATTAACCCTGATAATCTAGACATTCATAAATAGTTTAACACCAACTATCTAAGAAACTCAATAGATCTCTATTACTTTTCCCAAGAATGCATTGATTGATTTGAGTTGCAAAATAAGAATATAATTAATTAACACAACTGAAAAAATAATTTAAAATGAAAAAATAGGCTGGTTTCCATTATCTGTTTATAATATCTAATCTAATTATTAAAAAAAATGTGGTATTTAATTTAATTAAAATTTAAATTGAAAATATTGTAACTCTTTTTCATTGGTTTAAACCCTAAAATTGTAAGTTTAAAGAAAAATTTTCCATAAAAATTTATAAAGATAGCAATCATGGAAAAGTTTAAATTTAAAACAATGAAATAAATTTATGATAAATTCAATATGATTCTGTACTTATATGTACAGAATGCAAATTATTAATTAAAAAATGTGAACAATTATAAAGTAATGAAGCATTTATTTATAAATACCTGTCGTGTAAGGCTCCCACCCAAATTCATAGTACCCGATCCAGGTTTATTTGTCTGTAGCCACAACATTGCTGTAGACGTTAATTTATAATTAGCACTTCTACCACTAGATTTCTCCTGCAAGGCAAAATAAAAATATTTTCAATATTTCATAAATAATATAATTGTAAAAACATGTAAAATTATTTTAATAAGTGTAATAGCAGCACAAAAAATACAATATAATAACAAAAATATATATTTTAAATTAAAATTAATTTGTAATAAAACCAAAAAAGTACAGTAAACCTTGCTAACTCAGTTGGACAAATTTTTCCAAAAAATTGTACAAAAATTTCTTGACAATTAAAAAAAATTATAATTAATGAACGTTTTCAATATCTGGAAATCTTTCCAATATCATGAGTTATATTACTGTAATTGGATTCTTGTCCACTTCATCTATTACAACACTGGTAACATATAACAAGTTGCTTGATAGCCCCTTCAAAAAAGCTATTAGACAGGGCAATAAACAACTAACTTATAAGCACAATAGTATGGTCTATGATTTATTGCGATTTAATGACAAGGACCCAATAGAACCTACCATGATCCCAGCAGTACACAAAATACCCTTTACTCTAGGTCTAGAAAACAGGGTCAGCAAATATATAGGATATACATCCTGAAATCTTCCTACCAGGCTCAATGAACATTAGTATGATGTATGTAAAGGCAAAAGCACCACATCACTAACTATTATGACAGCACTTCCAAATAATGTACATTTCACAGATGCAAAACTCATTAAAACCTCCAGGAACTCTGAAAAAACTAGAAAAAATAGCCATATACAAAAATACTGTTAAGAATACATGTATTAATGATAGGGCCGCACAAGCTTATCACCAGCATGGAAATTTCTTATAAACCATGACGGGGACAAAACTATGCAATAATTTACTTTTATATAGTCAATGAATTTAGTGTATATTATTACAGTAGAGTGTTGTTTATCTGAAACGTCGGTTATCTGAAAGCATTCCAGTTGGCAAATTTAAATTTTCACTAGTGCTGTGGCGCTGCAATCTTTGGCTATATCTTGTGCTACTCTGATATTTTTTTTTGTTGGTGTGTTTTTTAGCTGGTAGCATTGGCACTTTTGTGTGGTGTTTTTCTGAGAATTGTGTGTCATGCTGAATCAAACGTTTTTGATACTAGATCATCTTCTAAAGTATATATTTTTTGGTTTTTATATTTTTCAATATATTTATTTTGTTTGTAAGAAATAAAGAAATAATTTTTAACGATACAATAGCCACGATTATTATTTTAAAAAGTATACGTTAGGCTTAACATCGACAAAAATTCAACGCGAAGCGACACGCAACGGAGAAAAATTTCAACA